GGAACAGCTGGTAGTTTCGAACTGCTGACCTTGAGGTTACCAGCCCTATTCGTAACCACTAAGCTATAAGAATGCAACCCTAAATGGAAAAGGCCACTGGCAATTTTTTAACTAAAGAGGCAGCCTCCCTAGTGGAGATAGGCTGATAACTACAACTTGACTGGGTACCCCCAGAGTTTGCTTTTCTGGAAGCAGCTCAGGAAAACTGATCTTTTAGCTATCTGAAAGATTCTGACTGCAAAGAATAGTCCTTACATCTTTTGTGTGGAAAGAACTTTCTACTCTTCTTTACCACAGATGGGACACCTACTTTGAATTAAGACCATTGTGTATAATGGGCTCAATCTGCCTGGAGCATAAATCCATCTCTAACATGCTCATTTCTTTGACTCCAGAGGAGAAAGTGATGTTTAGAATACAAACTGTTTTACATTACACATTTAGACTGCAAGCAGAAAATTTCTGCCAACCATGTGTAAGAGAATCCAAAATGAAATAAATCCAGTTGGTAGGCCTGATTTTCCCTTCATATTTCCTTTGTCCAGTGAAGAATTTGGATGCTGTTTGTAATCAGAGTAGATGACACTTGGTGACGGCAGAGACTATTATTCTACAACAAATCTAACCATATGAAATGATAACACAAGTTTTCAATAGTGCTGTTGTTGTTGTTAAATGCTGTCAAGTCTGTACTGACTCATACTGACCCTGTATAGGGTTCCTGAGGAGCAGCTCAGAACTGTTGACCTTGTAGCTCACAGTTCAGTGCTGATCCTACAGTGTCACAGCTGTGAAATTTCAAATTAGATTTAGAAGAACTTATGGAAAGAGCATATTGAAATTACACTCACCTGTGAAACTTGTTGCTAAGTGGCGTCTAGTCGGTTCCTACCCATGGCAACCCAGTATATGGTTTTCCAAGGAGCTGGTAGTGGGTTTGAACTGCCAACCTTGTAGTTTGCAGTCCGGTGCTTATCCTATAGGCCCACACCAGCATACTGTGAAACTCTAGTGTTTCTTGTTGTTGTTAGAGTGTAGAATTGCAGCAAATTGTTAACTCAGGAAGCTGATGCAGTGCTCATTTCAAATGATAAGCACTGAAAGAGTGGTTGGTTTAAGCTAACAAGAATTCCTCCTTGCCCCTCACCACCCCATGCCTCAAGCTGGTAGGTCTGTAAGCACTATGAACTAGATGTGGCAATCCCTTGAGCACCTGATAGGGAATGTCCAGGCACCGAGACAAACATCACATGATCACATGGAGAACTTGCTGGGGAGCAGCTACAGAGTGAAGAAATCAGTTTTTATTTTACAAACTGCAGGCCTAGGGCCCCCCTGCCAAGTTTCCCTAAAGTAAGAGAAGTGATGTGTGGGGAATAGTATAGACGGCTGATTCTAAATAATCAAATCTGTTATACCAGTCAAAAAATGCTTAACCTATTGAGAAAACTTTGTGAGCCCTCACTTCTTCTAAAAATGCTATTATTTTAGCGTCCCAATCACCAGTAATGATCAATACAACTTGATTTCATGTTTGATCAATTTCAGAGTGAAGAAGTTGGTAGAATTCTTCTATTTCATCCTCACTGGCTTTAGTGATTGATGCCTAAATTTGAATAATAGTGGTATTAACTGGGCTTCCCTGTAGGTGTATGGATATTATCCTATCACAGACAGCATTGTACCTCATGACTGATCTGGATATGTTCTTTTTGACAATGAATGCAACACCATTCCTCTTCAATTTGTC